CACCTTCTAATTGAATTCGTACTTCGCAGTAATTCTATATTTTGGATGATAATTGTGTTGAAAATGTGCCTAACAATATTTACGGTACCCGCAATATTCGGTATTTTGGGGAGCTTCTCTTAGTAAAAATTATCTCCTTAGCAAAAATTATCAATATTGGTCCAAGTTTCCAGATAGCCCCCATATATGGTATTCCCCTTTGTTCGGCATTTTCTCATGTGGTGTCAAATCTTCTTACCAAAATTTCACATTATAGTAGCTGCAATATGTCATTACGGGATATTAGGTCCACGCTTTGATATAGTTCCAAGTAGATTTTCGGTATTATAAAGATGTTGACTGGATGGATGTTAGAATTACAATTCTCTGAATGGACACAACCTCGATTCCGAATGTCTTCTGATTTCCAATTCTTGCATTTGTCCCAAAAAATTCGTGAATTCTTTGGAAAACGTGTGCATACAATGATCGCGTGTACATTCAATGATATACTTCTGAATTATTTTTTGTATTCTCACCTCAAATATTTTCAATACAATGACAATCCAATTGAAAAAACATACATGCATACATACATATTTTGAAAATTTCCAAAAATTGACAAATCATGGCTTAAAGGCTTGATACGCTACCCATTTCGCCCAAAATATCTTCAAATAACAAAAACGAAGGGGTCCTATCAAAATAGCCCCATACTAAATTCGAGGAAATGCAAATATGCTTCATAATATATTTTTTTTTTGCAAATTTTTCGTGGTTTTCGATTTTTTCTCACCTTTTAAACCTTCCCTGAAGCTCCACGAACATTTCAAGACTATGATAAGAAAAATCCGTTCAGCCGTTTTCGAGTTTTAGCGAGACTAACGAACAGCAATTCATTTTTATATACATATATAATATAGATAGATGTTGGTATGTATGTTATTTAATAACATTAAATGTTTCCGATTAATAATTGTTTGTTATAAATATTGACATTTTGAAATTTACACTCAATATCACATCACAGCGAAAATTGCCTGGAATCGCAATATGGCGAATGAATCTAATAAAGTCAATACCGTTTATGAATTTTTACACTCAAAAAAATCTGAAAGAACTTCTTAAATTTAATTAATTTGACACGGATCGTCGATGGCTATATACACAAAAGTTACCGATTAAAACATCTTGATACAATTGTGTCGAATATTTGTACAACCTCTACCATAAGGAGGGCATTGGAAATATCTAAATCACAATGGTCATTTATATGGTGTCTATGAATAGTCGGTAGGTTGTATGTCCTCCGAGAAATCGAAATACAAAATTACAGACACTAGGATTCCAAAGATCTACTACGATCTTTACTTGCTCGAAAATGTCGATTTTTTAACGATTATCAAATAGTGTGGGATCCAATGAGAACACACCGTTTTTATAGTCAGGTGTTCATGCAATGGGTGACGTAAGTACGGGTTGAGGCGTCGTTTAATTGCCAACACTCGGAAAACCCCTCCTACTATGAAAAAGCAACGAAAAAGAAAACCAAACCCCCAATGTTGACGGCCCTCGCAAACGTATAAATGACCACGATCTGCGAATCTGCACTTGAAATGTGCACACGTTCTACTAAACAGATGCAGTTATCGCTTTGGCGGATGTACCCAAGAATTACAAAGCCGATATTATTGCCTTACAGGAAATGCCATGGACAGGAGCTGACGTTAGTAAATCATGAAACCATGAAACAATACATGAATTTGGTTGCAGATTTATGTCTAATATGAGAATAAAATAAATCGTCTCTATATTCACACCAGTAGATGAGCCAATTGCTACAATCTGTATAAAAGCAAAGTTCTTCTACATCAGTCTTATTTGCTCCGACGGAAGACAAAGTTGAACAGACCAAAGACATTTTTTACGACTAAAAACATTCGGCAAGGGCTTGAAGTTGATTGACTTCTCGGCAACATAAATATGGTAGTTAGCAGCACCATATTCAAGCATTTCCTGATCAAAAAACGAGAAATCAAATTGATCATGTTGTGATAGACGGAAGGCATTCATCCAGTGTTTTAGACGTTCAATCGATCCAAAGAGCGAATATCAGCCAAGGTTCGTACCCGCCTTAATATAGCAGCAAATTTGCGATCTAACACGGAAACTCGACGTCGAAAAGCTGCAAACTCAACAGATTGCAGAAGCCTACTCCGTTCAACCTTTCCACTTGCACAATGGCAAAGAATTACCCACTCCCTACAAACTGCTGCCAAAGGAACCAGAAAAACGTGAGCGCAAGCAAATCGAGATGTACATGAGTCATGAATGAAGTCCGGAAATAACAACAGGTAAAACCCCAACCAAAAAGCTTTGGTGCAGGCACATCCTCCTGTAGAGACGGAGAAGGAAACCTGCTGACAGATACAGCTAGTGTGTTGGGGATCTGAAAGGAGGATTTTGCAAAGCTTCTGGTATCAAATAGTAACGGTGTAGAAGATACATAATATAATATGTACCTTCTAATATGTAGAAGGTACATATTATATTCCACGTTGCCAGGATGAGGTCAGAATAGCAATTAATTGGCAGAAGAATGATAAAACAGCAAGTGCCGATGTATTTCCAGTCGAACTATTCAAGCATGCACCAACTGATAAGAACAATTTGCCTAGAGGAATACATGCCCAATGATTTGAACCTCAGCTTCCTATGTCCCGTGACATAATGGAATAAACCTCGTTCCATCGTATATAAAGTGATATCCAGCGTGCTGTGTGAACGATAGAAGCCAATGGTCAATGACATTATTAGACCATACCAATGAGGCTTCATACCTGGCAAATCCGCAATAGACCAGATTTTGCTTCGATATAGCCAATTATTTTATATACCTCTGCTTCGAGGTAGTCAATGATTTTATATACCTCTGTACCGCCATAAATAAAAGTAATGACATCAATTTTGAAACTCAAACAGGGATAGTGTTGACCAAAAGATGCTACTATGGTCTGAGTAATCAATTTTAGAACAATGTCACCTTTCGCCAGACCAAACTCACAATCTACAAGACGCTGATATTACCCGTGCTGTTATATGGATCTGAAGTATGGGTACTTGCGCAAGCAGATGAGGAAGCTCTTGGAGTGTTTGAGAGACCATTTCTTTGAAAGATCTCGAATGTCCACGGATATGACTGTAACACGTTATATAACATGACGATGTAACGTTACCTCATATTTGTCTTCGATCGAGCGTCGTTCGTGTTAAGTTTCTTTAAAACAGTTTTTCACAGACCTATAGGATGGTGGTTTAGCGCCATACAAGTTCATAGATGCGCTCTCTTCGTAAAAATCCTTGACGAAAGTAAAAAAAATATCACACAAAATATTCACGAGTTATTTCCATATTTTTGGCAATTTTATTTTCATGTCACTGTAGACAATACAACACATGATCGTACGTAAAACCGCACTAAGTACGATTTTTTTGGTAAAAAGTGAAAAATCTTTTTAAGTGAAATGTAAATAATATATACAGGGTGAGATAAAAAAAAACTGTAACAAAGTCAAACGCCATAATTTAATTTTAATTTATTTTTATTTTTAAATTTATTTGAATGAAAACAAAAATGTCGGAAATAGCATCAAATTTTAGAAAAAAAATAGATTCGTCACCTTTGGCACGAATTATGGTCTTCAAAAGGCCAATGAAACCGTCACACGCTGCCCGAATGTTGCTCTGCGGTATTTTGGCCAGAGCTCCGATTTGCTCGATTTTACTCGCGAGTGAAAAATACTCCCGAGTGGGAGTAAGTAAAGAGTACGAGTTTTTTAGGGAGTACACTCTCCACTCTTTTATTTTGTTTGGGAGTGCTCGCGGGTACTCCTTGATGAAGAAAAAGAGTGTGAGTCAAAATGTTCGAAATAGAGTATGAGTTCACTCTAAGAGTGAAATCGAGTGGACAAATAAATTTGGTTGTTTGGTTATTTGTGTGTGTGTGTGCAGTAGCAAACATTTTTTGATGTTGATCTTTTGTGTGCTGTGGGGAGATCGATTATTTTGCTTACTGAAAATGTAAAATACAAATAAAAATCTTATACCATATAAGATTTTTATATATTTTTTATTTCAATTTATAAAATGAATTCAACCGTGTGATTTAATTAATTCAATATTTTTTTAAAAGCATAAACACCTCCAAACAAATTTTTAAAATTGTATTCATTAAAAAATGTGGAAAAGTATTCTCCAAAAAAAAAAAAAATATTAAAAGCGCTGGTTTGAAAGAAACCCCATGAATGCATAAGTGGTTCATTATTTAATTTTAGTATCAAAATATTGTCGAGGGTTTCAATTTGGAGGCTGGTTCGTCTTGCTGTCACTATTTCAGACTTACATAAAGTGAACGCAGAGAACGAGCTTGTTGATGCATGCTTTCCCAGCAGTACAGCAAACCAAACATCACAAAACAAACAAACAAACAATGCACACAAACAACATCAAGTAAAACAACGGTATCACAACAAAAACATAAATTAAAATAAAAGAGTACTCGGCAAGAGTGTAATCTGCTCGATTTCGAGCGTATTTCACTCCCACTCGAAAACGAGGGAAGCACTTGCGCTCTTATTTGAGTGGCAGAGAAAAATAGAGTATACTCTATTTACTTTTTCTACTCGCAAGAGTACTCCCGCTCGAATTCGAGTAAAGAGTGAAACTCGGAGCTCTGATTTTGGCCCATTCCCGGCGAAGCGCTTGCTTGAGGTGATCGACACTTTGGTATTCTTTAGTGCCAACTTTGCATTCCAAAACACTCCACACACAATAGTCCAACGGATTGGTATCCGGAGATTTTGATGGCCAGTGTGCGCTGGAAATGAAGCGAGACAATCTCATTTTGTAACTATTCATGGGTGGCGCGTGCTGAGAGCGATGGTGCTGAGTCCTGTTGGAATGTCCAAGATCTGCGGCCAAAATGTTTGTGTGTCCAAGGCTTTAATACAACCTCCAGAATATTTTCGCTATAATATTCGGTATTTATTATGATGCCACGGTCGATTAATACGAGCGGAGAGCGACCATCGGCTGTTATGGCGGCCCAAACCATCACCATGAGTTCTGGTGGCTAACCGAAGCTGCACATTTTCAGCTGACCTTTTGGCAAGAAAACACGATCATTTTGTTTGTTTACAAACTGCTGGACAACGAATGTTTTCTCAGCGGAGAAAACCAAATTCGAAAGTTCACCACTTTCGGCCAAGCGAAGCAACTCTTTAGCTTCTTTCAATCTATTTTCTTTCTATTGCGGTAATGGCTTTATCCCGAGCTATTTTTTTAATAATTGCCGAATGGAATATTGCGATATGTTCAGCTCACGAACCATTTTTCGGCCACTGCGACGCTGGTTTCGATCAAGTCGCTTCTTTACTTTTCGAATCATTTCTGCTGATGTTGCTGTTTTCTTCCGTCCACTTCCTTGACATCGGTCTACGCAACCAGTATCACCCTATCGAGCGATGGTGCTCTAACGATAGCCACTTGTGGGTTTCCAGCCAACTATAAAGAAATCACGCTATCACACTTGAATTCCATCACGAATAACTTTTTTCTGGAAAATTTTCATAATGAGCTGTCACTAGAATAATTTTAACAGCTGTCGGATGAGTGGCTTAGAAATAACAGCAGTCTGAAGTTGGTTGCATTTTTTTCATCTCACCCTGTATATATATATATATATAGGGGAGAGGGGGGCACCTTTGAACACTTTTTGCTTTCAAGCCTTATAAATTTTTTTTATTTTATCATTTTTGGTTTCTTATAAATTTTAACTAATAGGTGCATATGTAACCTTTAAAATGAATATACATATGACATACTATAAGCTTGATAAATATATTTTATTACTGTTTTAATGGACGAACTCAAAGTGTTCAAAACTGCCCCCCCAGGGGGGTACCTTTGAACAGGGGTTGGCATTTTCGAAAGACATGTTTTTTTTACAGTGTTTATGTTCAGATATGTATGTATTTTATTCATACATATCATAAATGCATTAATACATTAAAAAATATATAAAAATGTTCAAAATTTAAAAAATTTAGATCAAAAGTTATTAAAACGTAAAATGACTTAAAATAGAAATTAATATGGTGAAAAATACAGTTAATTTCGTAATCTTATCAGCCCATGTGAAATTTTGAGAAATCGAAGCCAAAAGTTAAAAACTCCTTTTTTTACTCGAGTTTAATGGGCATGTTCAAAGGTGCCCCACCCATGGCATTTTACGGAAATTTAAAATTACTTTTTTTGTAATAAATATATATGAAAGAAATTACATTAGTTATGTTTGAAATGATTGTTGGAATGCAAAAAATTTGTTTGACGAAAAAAAATATCACAGAATTCTTCCTGCGCCCTTACAACCAAATGAATAAAAGTTTACAATGACACTGAGAAAACATGGTCACCCATAAACAATTTTTCGACAACTGAAAAAGCAAGCCAAAGTGGTTTACGCATATAGAGAACAAGATTGCCATATACAAAAATGTGGTTGCGGGTCGGAAAAATATTAAACCAAGATTTTATGAGCGCTGTTCAAAGGTGCCCCACGTTCAAAGGTGCCCTCCTCTCCCCTATATATATATTAGGGCGGGCCAAATTTTTTGTCGATTAAATCCAGTCCATAGGATGATTCTATGGCCAATTTTAGGGAACTTTGGTGAAGGAACCATAGGTGTACTTGGTTTTCGAGTCTCCCACAGGGGAAAATAATTTTTTGAAAAGTGAGAGACTCGAGGATAGATATAGACCTATGGTTCATCCACAAAAGTTGCTTTGAATTGTCCATAGTCCCAAAAAATTGTATGAACATCTCTCAACTTTGCATGAGTGTAACACATAATGTCGGTTAGTCGATGTACTCACCAAACGTACGTGTGTAAAATGAACAGTGCAAAAATACCGTTTTTATGAACGTAACAAAATACCTGTTAAACCTCATTCACACAAGTGTAGATTGTACACCACGCCATTGGCATCGATGTCGATATATGATATCTTGTGAATATGCTTTATTGTAGATATGTATATACATATCGTATATACATACATGTGTGGTTGTGGCGCATAAATGCCGTCGTCAAACATACTTCATACACTGCATCTATTAACAATTGATAATGCCGCGGCAGCTGATTGTGGTGTTGGAGTGATATGATGACAATGCCGCTGCTGTAACCTGGCAACACTATATGACGTTGAATGTTTGCATGTTGACCATAATCCAAAAACCACAATAACAATATATAAATACAAACAAAAATCAAGTTTCAACTACTGGCAATGGCATACATGCATACACACATACATATCGATAAGTTACCAGTACAACTAAAATGTTTATCTTTGAAGTGTATTCAAAAGTTTGTTTTTATAGATTGCTTGGAGTGGAACAAAATGGTACTGGCAAAACGCCTAGTTGGTGCGGCCTGTAATACTCTAAAATTTAGTCAAAGCTTTACACACCAACAACAATCACTTGATGTGACGCTCTGAGCCAAACAAATAACTTACGCCTTACAATACAAACAATTTAATGTTGCAGACAAACAGACAAATCGATTTACACAATTTATACCACACACTAGCTGGCCGGCCGACCGACCAGCCCGATCCACAAAGACCCACCGATATGCTCTCATCTTAGTGTAAGTGCTGGTTGTGTTACCGTTTAGTTGGTTTGGTCTGTTCCTCAGCTCAACCCAGTCAGTCAGCCTGTCTAGCTTCCAGCAAACATCAAGCAGTCCATACAACATTACTGTAAATATTCTATGTGGGAGTACTTAAATCTCTCTTCGTATCAAAGACAATTTTGAACAATTGTGAAGTTGGTTTTGTTGAATATGACAACTCTGTGGCCCAAATAATGTAAACTAATGGTGTTAGTCTACTTCTTGTGGATGCCAACACAACACTGTAGAAAAATATATAAATATGTTTGTGTGTTTCTTGATTCAAATTAAGGTCAAATAAATAGAGTATATGAATAGCAAGAACGTATAGCGGGACCGTCCTACTGTTAAAATTTTGTGTCCTAATTTTTATACCCTCCAACATATATTATTCCGTTTGCAACAACGCGAAGTATACATCCGAGACCCCATAAGCTATATATATATATATTCTTGACCAGAATAAAATTCTATGCCGATTTAGTCATGTCCGTTCGTCTGTTGAATTCCTGACAGAGCTTAGAGCAATATTTAAGATTAAGCTTTGAAGATCTACACAAATATGGCAAATTTATCGATTCGGACCACTATTTTTTTATACCCTAAATCCCAAGGGTATAAAAATATAAAATTAAATTTGTCATTCCGTTTGCAACACATTGAAATATTCACCGCAGACCCCCATAAAATGCATTCTTGATCAGAATAAAATTCTATGTCGATTTTGAGTATCCATCTATCGTGATTTCAACAGAGTTGAATGCCTCAGAGTCTTGTGGCAGAACGTTTGTTACGTTACATAAGCTGTTAAATAAGCTCATAGAACAAGGTTCCCAGGCGCGTCGGTCTTGTGCGCAGCTCATCCGATTCGAAAGACCATTTTCCGAGATGTTGATGTTTCTTTCTTCCTTAGATTTAGTTTTCTCATTCTCACAACAACATGACCAGGTCGATCCGTTTGACTATGTCAAAGATCGAGAATAGATGGTACAGTTCATGGTTCATTCGACGACGGAGAATTTTTCTCTCAAACACTCATTCACGAAGCTGTAGTTTTCAAGTTCTACAGTTGGCCCGAGTCTACTGGAGGTCTTACGCGTTGATACCATTAGCTTGGTCTTTTGGCCATTTACTGCTAGTCCGACATTGACAGACTCCTTCTCAATTCGTTCAAAGTTGGCTGTTACCCATCGCAATGTTTGACCCATTATGTCGATGTCGTCGGCGTAGAGGACTAACATATACTTTTTGGTGTACAGGGTATCATTTCTATTTATAGTTGCATCTGGTCTGTGTTGGATGTGCCAGGTCTGAAGCCGCATTGGCGTGGTGCAGTAATGTCATTGTCTTCAATCGTTCACATAGCACTTTATATGCGATGGGAAGGATACTTATTCCTCTATAGTTGGCACATATCGTCTTGTATCCTTTTTTGTGCACGGAACACAGGATGCTGTGGTTTCAATCATTGGGCATGTATTCCTGAATAGTTCGGCTGGTAATCCATCGGAAATTGCAGCTTTATTATTCTGCGCCCGTTGGTATTCTGACCTCAGATTGGGTAGATGGTATGCAATCTATACAGTCTTCTCTTGTTGGTTCTGGGCAGTGTTGCCAAAACTTTGTTGATAAAAAATGCTAGATTTTGTTTAAAAAAGTGCCAGAAAGTGCTAAAAAATTATAAATAGTACCAAATTAAAGTGCTAAAAATCGTATGAAAGAAATTAGTAGAATTGGCTGTAATTTAATTTAATTTAATAATATTAGACGCATTCTGTGGGTTCTTGTAGGGTAGGATATATTTTTCCGGACAATTTTCTACTTAGGTATAGTCTGGGCATATCCCCCATATAAAGGTTTCATCCTTCTTCCCTACGTTTATGGTTTAGAACCTTTCCCCGCCGAATTGTCTGTAATTTAAAAATATGTTTTCCGAAATGTTTTGATGTAGGTCCATTTTTTGATTTAACCTCATTATAAAGAGAAACGCGACCCATTTTCTGTACTCTGAAGTGGCTATAATTTGGCATTCCGAATTCACAGTGAATAAAAAAACTCCTTTCCAAAAAGATTTAGTTTATTTAGTTTCATGATTTCTACATCACTCCCATACAAAGGCACTCTTAATCTGGTTTTTCATTTTACTAAATAAACAACCTACTAGCAAGCGATGCTATAGTAACCATATGAAGTACCCGACAATTTTTTGAGAAAATTTTAATACACTCCACATGGTGCAAGGTATAAAAAATTCTGACCGGCCGAACTTGAAGGTTTTTTAATTGTTTACAGATATACTTCTTCCTCAACATGCTGTCTGTATCTGTCACCAGGTTTCCTTCTTCATCTCTACAAAGCCTTCGGTTTGGGGTTTTACTCATTGTAATGCTGAGCAACCATGGGAACTGGTGCCCGTGTTTTGCATTTATCAATAAGCTTGTTCTCTGCGTTCTCTTTTTGTAAGACATTTCATATGGCGGTT